AATTAAGTGGCTGCATGCTTGCTCAATTGTATGATTGTAGTGGAAAAGTGTCTGTTAATAAATACACTTCACATGACACACAAAAAGATGAGCATAGCACAGCGATGAAGACTTCTGTTATTAAATTTATTACTTCTTGAGAAAAATCAAAATAAATCAATTTGAGAAGATTCAGTTCGAGATGAACAAGAAGATGTCTACTTAACGAGAGTTGAAGTGAATAAAAACATTGCGTGAAGGAGGGGACTCATCGAATCGGTTGAAAAGCGACCACCGCTACTCCGTGCAACGTCATACATTTTTCCTCCTTGTGCCTTTAATTATAAAGATATTTTCAAACTATACCCCTCGTTGGATTCGTTAAGCTGCCAGCTATAATTTTTATTTAAACTTTTTTTTTTAAATTCTGATTCGTCTAAGAGCAATGGTGTTATAAACGATATTTTAAAAAGTTACATTTTGCAAAACACTGTTTAAGCGAATGGCTAACGATTATGTGTGCGTTCTTGCCGTATATGCAATGTAAAATGCGCGGAGAAAAATACTTATATTTTCATTACCATTAGAGCTAATGACAAAAAAACGCACCGTTGTAAAGATAATTAAAAATAAGAACTTTTTGAAAAATTCCATTTTTTCCTTTTTTGGGCCGTTTGGACATCGGTATCAACAGACGAATTTAGGGGGTTAATTAGTAGGCCAAACACTACAGAAAAACATTATTATATGCTTTTTACCTTTAAAAGCTTGACGGAGGAACGAATTGGACTATCACAAAACTCTACTATATTGGAGTCTGTTATTTCTTTGTTTTCCTATGAAAAACCGCAATTCGTTACTTTCAAGTCTCTTGTAGACTTTATTACTTACTCTGTTACTCAGTTGAAATAATTGATCATAGTTCAACCGTAAGCGAAATAATGAAACTTGAAGGTTATGAATTATGGTTTTGGACCAATGAATAGGTATTCTTTATTCATTGTTTTAGACGGACATACAGAGAAACTCACCTCAATAACATTTCAATATTTGAAAAATACACAGAGAAGGAGCAGACTTCCCTTCCAGACGTCTCTTGTAGGCAGCGCACCATATAAGTCTTCAAATGAGTATGATGGGTTGCCGGTATTACACACATAACAACTGGAATACTTTTCCATATTCTAACTACCTATCATTACTAAATTTTGGTATACACATTATCGAAATTAATTGCACTAGACATATACAAACTTGCACCTCTGAATATAGGTATCCGGAAAAATATCAAAATGAACTGTCAAGAGCGTTTTAAGAGTCAACAAAAAGGGCCCCATTTACAGGCATTTAGAAGGGCGCAAAGTTATATGTTTTGAAATGAACTTTGCACTAGCAGATTGAAATATCGTGGGAGGTTCAATGATTTTTTTACAATTTCCTCGTAGATTGAAAAAATCATGATGATGATGTAAAAATGATTAATATAATCAATATCTCTAGCTCACCCCTGTTTTTAAACATACAGTGATATTCATGTAGAAGTAGACATAGGGATTTCCTATGTCTACTTTCAAATGATAAAGGTCTTCTGAAGGACGCCTAATTTTATGCAACCAAAATAACTTCTTGAAACAAATAAAGATCTGGCTGTCACATTAATTATTAATTTGAATTTTGGTGCTTTGGCTTCACAGAAAATAAATCCCTTTTTCTTTAGTCGAATACATCGCACACGAACGAAAATTAGAATACGGAAGTCAAAGCGATAATATTCAAATTAATTAATATCACAGGCATATCTTCATTTGTTGTAGGTAGTTATTTTGGTTGCATAAAGTTAGGCGTCCTTCAGAAGACTTTTTATCATTTAAAAGTAGGGGGGGGGGGGAAGTAACGTTTTCAGCGATACAGGTGCTACTAGTTTCTGGATGGCGTTGTCTTCACCAAGACCCGAAGAGTGCGTTAACAGGGCGCTGTAAGACCTGGATCCTCAGCGGAATTGGGAGTCTTAAGAAGAGATGGTTTCTCCCCGCTGTAAAGACTGTCTACAAAAGGAAAGGGACCTTGCACATCGCTTGTTCCAACCAGGCCACTGCGGACTGCTGAAGAGGGCGGTTATTTGTTATTTCAGGAAACGCTTTGGGATGAGACGAACCTACGGTTTCTCGAAAGCAAGTAGGTACAATGGCAAAGAGGGAAATGGTATGAACCTCGGGGCCTACCGAGGATGGACTTAATAGCGAGTAAGCCAACCTCCTGCGTAAGGAATGGAAAACTGTGGACGGATAGGAGAATCAAGAAGTTGTCCTAATGGACCTGACTTTCTTGGATAAGCTGGGGAAGCTATATGGGCATCGTGGACATTCTATAATCACAACTGATATAGGTAAGGTATGACTAAAGTGGTTCAAATTAACTCACCTGACCCAAAAAGATGAATCTTGTCCAAGAACCTTCGTCGAATCGGGTCAAAGGTTTAGGTGAAGCCGGAGGGTGGGTCGTGTATGACACATCCGAAGGGAAACCTAGGAGTTGTATAGTAGCCAAAGAAGGCATGACAGTAACGCCCTAATATGGAATCTCTGTTGCAGGGACCCAGTTTTAGCAAGGGCAGGCGGACACAAGAGAGAGCTTCTGCTCGGATCAGCATACCTCCCAGACGGTAAACCGAGCCCGCTACACACACAAGACAACACACAAAACAATTGGTGGACTATAGCCTAATTTACATTTGGCAAGTTTACTGGCGGAAAGTACTTTCTGCCAGTAAACTTGCTACCCTATTTCTATTTAACTGGCACTTTCCGCGCATTTACACGTGGCAAGTTTACTGGCCGACAGTACTTTCCGCCAGTAAACTTGCCAAATGTAAATTAGGCTTATTGCATGGTCAAAAAATGTCATGCCATCAAGCGTAGCTTATAATCCATGGCAACAATTATTGCGACAGTGGTTGCCATATGGTTTTTAAGCAACGCTTAAACTAAGCTCCGCTTAAATTTACCGGTGCATACGGCCATTAGGGCTTTATGGATCGGTAGACGGATGTTTGGAAAGAAATGCCAAAAATTAAAAATTTGTATTTTAAACTGCGGTCGTTTTGGTGTCAAAAATTTTTTTAAATTCAACTGTAATTTTTATGACTATCCTTAATGAAAACATACACATATTTTCCAAATTTATATTTCTTGTCATGAAGTGGAATGCCACAAGGCATTGGTTTATCAACTGACATTTATGATTTGGACGTGTATTACTATAGTTGTTCCACTATTGTGTAATTTGTCTTAAAAATATATTTAAGACATGCCTTTTAGTCCCTACTATGGTTTCCCCATGGCACCAATGAATAGCGTGTTTGCAGCTTGTCGTGAGGAAGATTTTAAAAACTAAACTAAACTATTCGAAAAAGTTACCGTTCCGAATTCAGGAAACGAATCTCTTTCCATACTATACATATGCTCTATTATGCAATTAAAAAAAAAACGATGTTTCTCGTGGAATTCAAAATTGTCCTGCCAGAAGGTTTTTTTTTAAGTTACACTTAACCTTTGACTATAACTATTGTTAATGGTTTGTTAAATCCTCGACTGAATCAAAACTGACATTAATTTTATAATTGCATTTACATTTTCACGTTCTACAAAAATCAGTCATTTCAGACACGTGGATGCAAATATAAACTTCCTTCAGTTTTGTATGGACTTCACTTCTGCAGGGCTATTTGTACCGGGTGACCCAATAAGACTGTCCCTCGGCCATATCTCGGGAACCGTTCGCCGTATGACTTAGTGGTAAAAAGAATTATTGGGTAAATCGGTTATGAAGAATCGCTGGAAAATATTTTCAAGTTCTAAAAATGACCACCGTGGGCGTGACTGCCATCTTAAATTTTAAAATTGGATTTTCTTTAAATTTCGCATAATAAACTAAACATTCTTTTTTTACATTTTTAAAGAGAACCAGTTTATCTATCATTTTCGTAAAAACAAAAAGTCAGTTATTTCAAAAACAAAGATGTGTGGGGTGTTCAATTGTTTTTTCAATAACCAAATTTGATACAATCGGTCAAACGGTTAAGTAAGTTAACGCAGGTTATTGCAAAAACAATTGAACGCCCCACACATATTTGTTTTTGAAATAACTGAGTTTTTGTGTTTACGAAAATGATAGATAAACTGGTTCTCTTTAAAAATGTGAAAAAATAATGTTTAGTTTATTATGCGAAATTTAAAGAAAATCCAATTTTAAAATTTAAGATGACAGTTACGCCCTCTTGTGGTCATTTTTAGAACTTGAAAATATTTTCCAGCGATTCTTCATAACCGATTTACCCAATATTTTTTTTACCCCTAAGTCATACGACGAACGGTTTCCGAGATATGGCCGAGGAACAGTCTTATTGGGTCATCCGGTACAACTAGTTTTGAAAGTAATGCCTTTAACACATGTGGTACATGAAATTTTTTTGCATAGTGATCCTTAATAACTCATAATTGAATATCATTGACATTCGCGATTTACTGTCACTCAAACATTCATGTTATTGTTCAGTGATAGGACGAAACACCATGGAAACACATAGTAAAAATCGTGAAAAAAGTAACACATTCCATAAGATTTTTTGACAAAAAAAACGGTACTTTGATCACTAAACAAAAAAGATACCTAATGTTTTTCACGGAAACTTTATTTTTTATCTTTATCAATAGATTATACCCTAGAAAATGGAACGGAACGAAATGAATTACTTGAATTGCCTATAAAACAAATTCTTTTATATGTAAGAAAACTAAATCTGTTTTTGGTGTAATAACAATTTAAAAACTGCCCTTACCCTTGCGATAAAAAGTACATTTAGTTTTTAATCTATCATAATGAAAATCGTGACCAATAAGGTTTGATTTTAGCGTTAAACACCATGAAAGTTTAGTGGGAACTTGTGGTCAATCTATATTAGGGAAATGTTAAAATATTTATTTCTTCTTATCTGAAGACTCTAATTAATTAATTATACATTGTTTTCGTTTCTATTGAGCATCATTTATTGAAAAATAAGATATTTGAACAAATACACAGAGATACCAAGCAATAATATAATTCTAAGTAGAACATAAGTCGGACGAAATTTGTTTAAAATGATATTTTAAAAAATAAATAATTTACATGATTACCGATTATCATTTACAAGTACAATGTGACCAAAATTTTCATACGATCTAACATCAATTTCAAAAATTATCAAAAGAATAAAAACCTCTCGTGCTCACCTCTTTGTTTGAAACGCGTGGACAAGATAATTGTAAAAAATCTTAAGGCATTCTAAGTTTTATATAAGTGCACTTCCAAAAGACGGTGATAATTATGTGTCATTTAAATATAATAATAAGTCTAGAAATACTCATGCGTACATCTAGAGAACTTTTGATAGTGATGTCGCTTTTGAAGCACATATTTTTACATCATCTATATTGAATTTACAGGAAGTTAATACATTCGATATATATTGCTTGTTTACAGTGTACAGTCGCAATTCTAAAGGCATTTATAAGACACTTTAGTTAAGATAAGGCAAAACACTGATACTACGTAGTTCAACCCTTACTTTAAAATAACTCTATAAGAGCAATTTTTCAATCAATCTATATAACTAACATGTTACATATTATTATGTATATAAAAAAATCTTATAAGGCAAATGATAGGACTAAAATATAATTCGCGAGATTAACTTAATACAGTAAATTCGGCTAGTATCACAAAACAACCACACTTACAAAGTATATAATTTAGGGAGATTAATTCTCACAAAGGAATGCAGATTACATCTTATAAATAAATAATAAAAATATAATTTTGTACAAAATTTTGATTTCTATATGTATTACCGCGTCCCGATCTACTGACCAATACCGTCGTACCATTTGCCGTTAATATTTGGTTTACTAGGCTGTACTTGCATATAGATATGTACAAAAATTATAGTTATAAAATAAATATATGTTTACTACCCAATAACTTTCAATTAAAACTTAAAAACAACACACTAATGCAGTCAATACTAAAATCTTCTACATTTAAATACCAAATGGCTACAAAATGCTACAGCATTCGTCTTCAATAACTTCTAAATTGTTCTATGTGAAACTTCACAAGCGCTAGCTTGAGAAGTGTCACATTGTCAATGGAATTATGACTAGAGCTTGCAATAAGTACAACAGGTCCAGCTTTTAAAAGTCTACTCTTGCTCACCACCCTTAACACCCAACAATTTAGCAGCATCGTCTGCAGAAGAAGTTAAAACCTGATCGATAATAGAACGATCTCTAATACCTAATAAATTACTAATCAAATCACTACCTTCCGCACCATCAGACTCATCCGTTTTCTCTACAGACTTACCTACTAAATTGTTGTTGTTACCCTTCACAAACTTATTAAAAGAGGGCGCGGGGTGGGCGTTGTTAACGTCCTCGTCGCTGTTGACGTTGTCGATTTCGAATGTGACGTTGTGCTTCTTGCGGTGCCGCAACATGCTGTGCTTCAGCGTGAATCTACGATGGCAGATGTCGCAACTAAAGGGACGTTCTCCGGTATGCGTTCGCATATGGCGTCTCAGGTCTTCGGCGGACCAAAAACGTCGCATACAAAACGCGCATATCACTTTTCGATTGGCATAATCGGGAAACTTTCCCCGAACTTCGTTGTCCTCATTTTCGTCGTGGTTGGGATTTTCATCGGGCGTGGTCGCGTTGGCATCGAGGGCGTTTTTTGACAGGAGCAGTTCGTACTCGGACTGGTGCCTCTCTTTAATGTGATCTAAAGCATCACTTCGCTCCCCAAAAGAACTGTCACACAGATGGCATTTGAAAGGCAACTCTGAATTTTGCAGGTGATTTTGAATTTCTGATTTGTTGTTGGTTGTAATCTGTTTGTCCCAATCAGTTTTTGGGTCGTTGGGCGGCATTTTTTCGTCCTCGGAGCTGCCCGCTTCGTATCCTGTGGAAACTTGAGATCGCGCGTCGTCGCTTGGGATGTTTTGGAATGAGTGTTTACAGCTTATGTGCTTCTTTAGGTTCGAGTATGTGGAAAACGTGCTGCTGGGACAGCTGGAGCATTTAAATGGCCGTTCTGGTACGTTTCGCATCATGTAATTACTGTTCACGTTGGCGGGGTCGTTACTGATGGCACTTGCAGAATTGCCATGCTTACGCAACAAGTGGCGGTCACAATTTGATTTGGTGGTAAACAATAGCGGACAATGACTGCACTTGAATGGCTTTTGGCCGGTGTGTGTTAATACGTGTCTGCGTAAGGAAGACGTCCATGGAAATTTGCGTTGGCAGTACGGACAACTGACACGGTTGGGCGCTAAGGAATACGCAGATTTTTTCTTGGCGGGAAGTTGAGCCGTTGTGTTTTCGTACTCCGATCTAAAATTAAAAAAATTAGAAACTGCATATGGAGGTATAGTGACAATAAACGAACCTATTTTCATCAGTCCCCGAGTTATTTCCGTCACTTGTACTGCTACTGGCAATCAAACCCTCCTCGTCCTCCTCGCTAATAACTCCTTCCCGTCCTTCGGCATCTCTATGGAAATACTCCTTAAACGGTTGCTGAGAAGCATTATCCAATAAACGAGATACGGAAACCAAATCTTGAGCGTCTTCGTTTTTATTAAAATTTGTGCTTGGAGCGTTCTCCGAGTTATCATTCAGTATTCGATTGGCGCTTTCGTGAGTCGAAACGGATAAGTTTTCGCACTTCTCCTCGTTCTCGTCTATAATTAGGGGGTAATCTTCGTCTTCATGATCCTTGCTACGCTTATTCGATGTCTTGTAATCCTTCAAGTGTTGCGCTAAGATGGCGTACTTGAGTTTCGCTGATATGTGATTGTCTTTAATGTCGTTGTATTCGGATTTGATGGGAGTTTCATAATTGGGAATACTTATGTTATTAAAATTATTTCGAGGGGTACCGTTGCTCGACTTGCGAGTTCCACCACCGAGGTTGGTTCTCTGTCGCTGAGACCAATACTGTGGGTGTTGTTGCTTTATGTGACGTTCCATGTTCGACCTCAAGGTAAATCTTGCAGAGCAGTATTCGCATGAGAAGGGCCGTTCTGTACGATACCGCCTTTGCTTTTGTTTAGGCATGAGCACGCCGTTCTTGATCACCATTTTGACCGAATTGGGAGATCCTAACTGATCGGGTTTGCTTGTCGAAAGAGGATTTTGCATTTTCATTATGTTATCGGATAGGTTAGGTTCAACAGACAGACTTAGAGGTTTCAGTTCTTCGGACTTGTTGGCGAAATCGTGCGAATTCAGTTCAGGTTTGACCTCGTTCATTGCGTAATTGAACGAGTTTATGGCGGGACTAGGCGGCGGCTGTTGGAAACTTTTTAGTCGTTCAGTAAAGTTGTCCATGACCATACCACCTCCGCATAATTGCAGTCTTTGTAAACGTTCTTTGATTTCTTGGGGGTCTTGAGGTATTAAAGGCGAGGGAAGCGATTGGAAAAATAGCGGATTTAGTGAGAATGGCCACGGCGGTAAGCCATGAAGGCCGGAAAATCCGTTCCGGTAGAATGCCAATTGAGATGCGTATAGTCCGGCAGGATCGATCTTTGGTGTGTTTTTTAACAGCTGCCTTGCAAGGATTTCGCTCATGTGGTGCGGTTGTTCCGTTGATTTTTTAGATAGATCCTGAGGTAAGTCTTCGGTGACGGGTTTATTTTCTATTGGTGCAACTTCTGTTCTTTTGGTACTCAAATCTAAAGCCATATCTGTGGACTCTTCATCCACATCCACATCGTAATGATTCACTTCTTGTTTGGCATAACTCTTCGGGCTGGGAAATTCGGTGTTTTGTAGTGTTTCTAAATTTTTTACGTTTATTTTCAGGGGTTGTTTATGCGGAGTTGAAACGTTGGCGATTTTAGGAGAAAAGTTGAAATGCGGCATGTATGGTAAGTGATCGCTAGTTGGTGTTGTACATTCGATTGAGTTTGAGGAATCATTGTGCTTTATACTTTTTATTTCCAGCCGACCGAGAGAGTGGTGAGCATTCAGATTGTAAGCAGAAGGGCCATTCGAAGACAGTTTGTCTGGGAGCAGTTTTGGAAGATCTGGAGTCGGTAAGTAGTTGTCATTTCCAGCTATTTTAGTGCTTTCTTGCATGTTTTCTACGATTTCTTTCGAAGACAAGCTTAATTTATCTTCGCGAGCCAGCATTTTCGAAATTTCTTCATTACTCGGATCTTCCGACGGGTGATATATTATCGATTTTTTTACTTCTTCGCGTGTTGTTTTCGCATGGCGATTCCGTAAATGTCGCTCGCAATTTGCTTTCGTCGTAAAAGCGTAGTTACACAGAGAACACTCATATGGTCGGTCACCATTATGCGTTCGCATATGACGAATGAGAGCGGCTTTATCTATGGAAGAATGGGGACACATATTGCATCTATAAGTACCATTGTTATTTCCGCTAAGATGCTGACGATTGTGTCCTTTCAGTGCACGTAAATTCGGAAAAACGGCCGTACAGAGACGGCATGGAAATTCCCCACGCACTTTCATTTTTCTAAACTCCGCAGCAAAAAAGTCCTGGGATTCTTCATCATTTTCTTGCTTTCCATTCTCGTCATTTTCGCTGTATGAGCGGAACATGGAATTTCCGTCGTGAGGTTTCGCTTGAAGTTGCTGCAGTAAAGTGCCATTAGTAGTCATGGAAATTATAGTCTGAATATCTGCCAAATCTTTACCATCGGCAGATGGCGCAGTGGAAGATTTAATTATCTTCTCAAGTGTCGGTTCGTGCTTATTGACGGAGTTATCCTGCAAATCGAGCCTGGCAAAAAAATCATTTCGGCGCAAATCGGGACTCATCTTGTTGTTAGTACCGTCCTTTTTGGACAGATCTAAACCGACAACGCAATCCGACTGATGAATTTGAAGGGAGCTGGCACAGGGAAACGCTCGTGAGCATTTACTGCATTGAAATTTCAAACCTCCGGTCACTTTATGTAAGTTCTTTTCGCACTCGTATTTGGCTATGTACGGGAACTTTTGACTGGAAAAATCGACAAACGTTAAATCTTTGAAGCCAACCACGGAACTTTTTTGCAGTCTTTCGTCGTTTAAATGAACCATAACCCTGTGTTCGTGCAAAAGTTTGTTATTGTTGAATGTTTGACTACATTTATTGCATTTTGCTGGATAATCGGGATGATTATCTTCAAGGTGAATCTGTAGCATGTCAATTGAATTAAAATCGTTACGTTCGCAAACAGGGCATCCATAAACGTGGACGTCAATATTGTTGAATGTATTCTCTAATTTAATTCGAGTACGTTTGTAAGGCTCCTCATAATCGAAACTCGAGTTCTTCCGTTTATTATCTACGAAACCGTCATCGTTCTTCGTTGTTATTTTATTGTTATTGTATTCAATTTTAGAACCGCTACTGCCGACACTATTTGTACTTCCATCAGATTCGTAATTTTCAACTTTATTGGTGTGGGTTCGCATATGCCTGTGCATGTTTCCGTTGGTGGTAAACGTATCCCCACAGTATTGGCATGTAAAAGGTCTCTCTCCGCTGTGTATTAGCATATGTCTATCTAGACTCGCGTTCGAACTAAGTACTTTAAAACAAATACGACATGTGAAGCCTTTCTCTGAATCCTGCACTTCCGTTTCGTTATTGTGAGATCTGATATGGATAGTGAATTCGTGTTGGGATGTAAGCATGGTTTCGCAAATTGGGCATAAATATTTGCGATCTGGAGAATTGCTATTGCTTCGATTGTCAGTGTCGTCATTTTCCGAATGATTCGTACGCTCCATTTCGATTGAAGTAGAATTTCCGGTTCCCGATAATATACCGGAATCGCTAGTGTTACTTTGGTTTCTTCGATAGTCTTTGGTTTTTAAATCTAGTTCTGAAGATAAGTCCATGCTCGTTTGGGGAACTAAAAAAGAGATGTGTTAAGTTTTCAAATAGCTCATACGATGGAGTTACAAAATTAAAAAAAATTCCCGTTATTATTTGTCATAGAGTCCATCTAGGCAGTATTAGGTTGCAAAGCACGTACATTAAGAAATTATAAATACGCTTTAATTATAGGTAGGTACTATTTTTACATTATTTTTCTGTTACAGATTTGTCGCCCAAAATCACAGTGACCAAATCGAGGACCAAATAATGTAGATTGTTCGAGATGCAAACGGCTTTTACTAAGCACCAAAACTTTGAGCTACTCGAGAGAACACAGCTTTGAATTTTTGTGCAAACTTAATGAAGAATAAACTTTGAATGTTTTTGAATCAACTACCTCTTCAAATTTGTACATCTTCTGAATTTGAAGAAGTGATTTAGTTTTATTTCATTTATTTTAAATTTGGTGTACACGGTGGTTAGGTAACATTCGTGGCCATTAAGATCTACGTAATGATGACAGATACAGTGTAGGTTAAATGGGGACAAAGTTGCCCATTTTTGGGATTAAAAAAAGATTTCAAATTTTTCAAAAATCTTTAAATTAATTGAGATATCACTAAATTTCGTTTTCATTTTCCCTAGCTTAAACGGTCGGAAATGGACGGTTCCCGTTAGCAATTTTTTTCGGAGAATCTGAATCTGGTATCAGAATTTCCATAACACGATAGATGTAGAAGCTACAGCTACAGGCTACTACTTTCTTATTTCTTATAGACGCCATATTAGATTTTTACGAAATGAGATGGAGGACAAAAAAAGAAATTCATTTCCATATATCGCCATCATGATTCAACAGGATCTAGTTACCCGTGGACGTTATTTTCAAAAAATATTGGATTTTGACACTTTTCTTGTAAATCTTTGCAAAAGTATAGAGTGTGGCACGTTATTATTTTCCTTTTTTTTGGTCCTCTATCTCATTTCGTAAAAATCCAATATAGCGCCCATATGAAAAAAGAAAATAGCAGGCTGTAGCTTCTGAAACCAGCCTGTTTCTGATTCTCCGGAAAAAGTGCCCATATAAGGCGCTAACGTGAACCGTCAATTTCCGATCGTTTAAACTAGGGATAGTGAAAATGAGATTTGACATTTTCAGTTATTCGGTGATATCTCAATTATCTTCAAAGAGTTTTCAAAAAATTAATATTTTTTAATCATAAAAAGAGACAACTTTGCCCTCATTGAACAGAGTTTTACTAATATCATTGTTTATTCATAAACAAAGCTAATATTAACTAAAACTCCTAAGGATTTAAGAAAATTACTACTCGGAATAATATAATTGTTATCTAAGGATAATAATAGATATTTCAGTAATTTTAGGAATCATAATTCTTCATAAGGATTAGGTACATGTATCTTACAAATCCTAAGAATCTTAAGGACTGGACTTTTGAGAGTTTTAAGAATCTTGAGAATTACTGGATCACAAGCAAGTAGTAATTCACATACTACATCTTACCCAGTGAAGGGTGAGTAAGGATAAGTAATCTCTAGGTTCCATCTTGATCTTTGATCAACAAGGACAAGTAGACGTTATCTTTACTGATTTTAGTAAAGCTTTTGACCAAATTGACCACCTTATTATTCTAAAGAAGCTTGAAGAATATGGGTTTAGTTCCTCTATTATTCAGCTCATTAGATCCTATTTAACGAATCGCCGTCAATTTGTGTCTTATAGCGGATTCAATTCTAAACCCTACACTCCTACCTCGGGTGTTCCACAGGGATCCAACCTGGACCCTTTTCTCTTTTTGGTCTTTATTAATGATTTGCCTGCTATAGTTATTGTTAAAAAACAACTTTTTGCGGATGACTTAAAAATATATACAGAAATTAACACTGTTGAAAAGTGCGAGTTTCTGCAGAATTCACTCGTTAGAATTAGTAATTGGTGTGAGAAGAACAAACTTCTTCTAAACATCTCAAAATGCAAAGTAGTGTCTTTCACTAGAAAACAGAACCCACTTCAATACGCATATAGCTTGGAGAATGAACGACTCGATAGGCAAATGATCGTAAAAGATCTTGGAATTCATTTTGACAGTAAGCTTACTTTCTCCTTCCACATTAATACAATTACCAACCAAGCCCTTAAGTTGCTTGGGTTTATTTCTCGTCCCTGTATCGACTTTAATAATTTCAACCATGAACCTTTTATATGTCCCAATAATAAGATTCAAATTAGAATACGGAGCGATTATATGGAACCCCTTTTACCAAAAATATGTAAACGATATTGAAAAAGTACAAAGACGATTTGTAAAATATCTACACTTTCGGATGAATGGTTATTATCCCGACCAAGGGCATTCCCAACACCTACTACTAAGGCAATTTGACTTGATGGCTCTTAAAACTAGAAGAAAACGTATTAGTATGTCTTTCCTATACAACTTAGTACATAATAATATCGACTGCTCATCGCTGTTAGCTGTACTAAGATTTTCTGTGCCTCCCTTCAACTTCAGACATGGGACTGTGTTTAAGTTGCCAAAATATCGAACGAATATTATGTTCAACTCCCCAATTTATGAGATGTGTTACTTTTATAATAGTATTTGTAACTCTGTTGACCTTTTTAACACTACTTTAAAGAATATTTTACAACTCATCAATGAAAGGATTTAATTTTTAAGGCTTCTATTTATGTTCATTTAATTATTATTAATATCGAATAATCTTCTACAATTATCTCTGTTTTTAGTTGGATATCATATTTTGTTTAAAGCATGTTTTATTTCTTTTTATCCTCTAGTGAATGTACATTGTCAGTTAACATTGTTCTTTATTGGTTAATCTGTTGGTGACAATAAATATTATTATTATTGTTTATCATAAATTGTAATATCTAGTCAACCAAAACAAAATTACACTGTAGAAATACAAAATTTCAATAATGAATTCTATTCAGTTACTATGAAAAGTAGGTGAGCTCAAAGGTGCGTGCAAGTTAAGATTAGGCGATAATTTAGCAACTTTACTCCAATTTCACCAACATCTTAAAATAACCGAGATCCCCTGGTGAGGTGCGACAAATGAGCATTATACTCGTATAGTGATTCAATTGAAAATTGCAAGTTTTCTTTTATCTTTTAAATGATCGTCCTGGACTGAGCTGAGAAATCCAAGATAGAGTGAAGGTCTTTTTCTAAATTGTAACCCATTGGATACTATGTAAAAATTGCTTGATTTCTTTAAATCGGCTGCATCGTCCTTTTGTTTCCTCAATATTTTCTCAGAATAATACCAAACAAAATCGAGAACAAAATAAACCTTGGCGCCCACGACGTCGGAAGTGAATAACGGTTGGGGGGGGGGGGGGGGCAAAAATCAGCGACCATGGAGCCTGAAAGGTCCCTCCCATGCAAAATTGTGTACGAATTAATGCAAAGTAGTGGGTTTTTTAAGTGACCCTGAAACCCGTTTATTTAATCAATCAAATAATGCATTTTTGAAAGAAAAGTTTTGAAAAAAATTTAAAAAAGTGTCCGAGGATGTCTAGTTATATGAGCAAGTCAGAGATACTTGACTCGATTGAGAAAACCATACCATAGATCAATAATATTTTATTTAAAAAATGATGAACTAGAACATACAAAAGTTACAAAAATGTTGTTCCTATTTATTGCACTATTGAGCATTGTAAAGAAAAACAAGTATAAAAAATTAAATATATCCAAAAATTTTTCGCAGTTTTGTTGGCAAACTCTTTCAATATATCCTCTACCTACTTCTACACTTTTTGTAATTTCTACATGCACCTGCAGTAGAATATGTGTTAGTCGCTTTTGAGGGATTTATCTATTCATTCTTAGAGGGGGCGCGGCCCCCCTTGTGTAAAAGGGTAGCCCCCTCTCACCCAAACTTCCGACGGTGCTGGTTGGCGCCGCCGAAAGCCTCGAAAGTTTACTATTTCTTTAACCTTCAAGCGTCGGGTAACTGACACGGGATGATCAACAAGGACAATTTTCTCGTTCATCACCTAAAGGAGTCCTCCATTATTCGAACCTGGTTTTTCTTTATCTTGCTACGGTACGTATCCTTTCGATCTTTAATGTTTCGAGAAGAAACCAACCAAATTGATTAATTTCGTTTACCAACTGAACTGAATCCCACCGCAGTACAATATATCAGTAAATAATCAACATATTCGTTGCATCAAAACATGCAATATTGAAATACAATTAAACGCAAAAATCGTTGGCGGTATTACTAACTAAAAAAGATAACATGCGTCACTGTATACAAATCATTGTTAAAAGAATATGTGCAATTCTTGCAAAATCACTATCCCAGTAAAATGGCAACAAAAAATATTTAATCTAAACGAATGAATCTTATCATTTATTCAATAGTAAAATGAATAATAATTTACTAACATTCTTCGTAACGGCAGGTGGATAAAAAGTACAACACAACAGGTATTGACGTAAATAGATAATGCCGTGTCCCATCATAGAGTCTGGAGTGAGGTCGTCACAACTCGTCAAGGTAAGTCAGTAAGTATATTGGGGCGTGACTTCACAAATAGCAATAATTAAATAAATAGACTAAATAAATACGAAAGATACAGAATATCGAAATGAGCACAAGATAAGATCATGTTGAAACAAGATGATTAATAAGAACAAATATATTAAAATGTGATCTGTACCCTTTGTTGATAAAGAGATACCTGACGAACTGAACTCTGAAATATTCGATAAAAATTGTATTTATTTTAGATGGCCTGAATCCCGTTACGATTCGGAGCTTTGCAAAGTAATCTCTATTTACACAGAAAAAAACCTCCGGACATAGATCCTGAAAAGGAAATTACACTTTTAAGAAAGCGGAAGCAATAAGATTACATGGACCACAATGACAGATATGAACAGAAAAACCGCACGTTTGAATTTCCTTAGCTTTGTTAACCTTCTTATCGTTTATCTTAAAAATACGTACCACTCCTATAAGGTGGTGACGATCCTGTCTGTATGTGACCATCAGGTATACATAACATACCTTGCATTTCGAAATTAAGTTCTGAAAAAAAAGTCGCATTAATAAGATCTTCGTGACAATGTACCAAAAATTTATATAATAATAAAAAAAAAGATACTGGTCGCTAAACACAACGGAGAACATTATTTAAGAGGTAGCATATGTTAGCTTCACCTGCCCGAATGTGTCTGCTTTAAAACACCTGCTTTGGCGCGTGCCCGATCCCCTTGTATATAACCGACCAGATAAAAAGGCTTGTAAGCAACTACCATTGATCCGACTGGTTTTCTGTCGAAAGGATATCTATACCACCGTGCATTTTGTATTCAATACTTAATTTTTTCCTTTGTATTTTTCCGGCTGTTGCAAATGGCAATCTTATTAGCTTTTCCATCTCTTATCAGTCATTTTCGTAATCTACTCAATATTAACTCCAAATCTATACAAATACATTTTTCGATTGTTGGGTGTATTAAACTCATTTCAAAACAATACGTTCAATATCCGGCATGGTTTTTACGTGTTTTAATGGTTAACGAGTAACGGATCGGCAGTAATCTTCAATTCAAAAATCGATAAATAAGATTTCATTAGATACTTTTTTGCCGTTATCAAATGTAATCAGGTTTTCTCGAAAGACGCAACTTTTTCTCCACTGTTTGGACTAATTGTCATAAGGCAGATACGGATAGTGCTGCAATTGAAACTGTTTTCAAATTGCTGCAATGGCAGTTCTAATTTGAATGTTTTTAAAATAATTTTGAAGCTTTTAACAGTTGGTCCAAAACAATTGCTCTAATATACTTAAATCTCATAATTCGTTCCAAAAACTTTTTTTAGTAGTTCAAATGTCATGGGAAACCGCTCTCCGAACATTTTGATTATGCTTGGATTTTATTGTAAAATAATTTTTGTCTTGTATCGGAATTGGTACAAAAAATGATACAAAATTCGTTTTCATTGTTCCTTATGCAGTTTTTGAGAAATTCTATTTAGAAAATCACGACTACTTTCACGAAAGAATCGGAAAATTTTTGAATAAACCCTTAAACGATTAATGGGTTCAATGTACCAAATCCCGGAAAATCGCCCCGGAAAACTTACTTTGGTACATTCACCACCCAAAATGCGCCCTCAGATTGTTTGACCTCCGAGTTTCCCTAGGGGAAAGTATACCGAAAGCAAATTTTCGTGGATAGAGGTGCATTTTCCATGACGAAATTTGCCGGGGGCGAACCACGCGGGTAATCTTTCAGATGCAAAATATTTTGGGACAATCTTTGAGGGCGAAACTACCGATTCGAATTTTCCAAGGCCAATTACCGCATAGCTGAAAAATCATCTGTTTCGTATATCTATGCAGATGCACTCAATTACGAATTGCGATAATTGCAAATTGTTGCGACAATCGCTATCACAGATATAAAACGTATGTAACCCTAAATCCTGATTAAATTTGACGGTGCAATCAAAAGAGCTTTGTATCTTTTCGATAAAATTTGTCTGGGGAGAGTATTCTGAAGGAGAAACTCTGACATGGAGTTGACTGATTGCGCTTGATTGTTCATCTCATTATGAGACTGAACTCAACAATTTTACACAGGCTACCTACACAATACGCATAGCAGTTGTCTCTTAGATGAAGTTCTGAAGATCAATCTTTTGAGATCCAACTTTCCCGAACGTTAATTTTCCATTGAGCCAGTTCCTGACAAGAGAGTATTTTCGGCGGGCGCGAATTCTCCATGTGGATATATTCTGAGGGAAAACATTTCGGCGCAGAAAGCTGCGGGGGGCGATTCTTCCCGGTGAGAAATTTCCGTGGATGAATCCTCGGGTGTGAGTTTTCCGAGAGCGGATCTTATGGGACGAATTTTGGGCGGGGAGAGTTTTTTGAGTCTAATATTCTGGAGGCGCGTTTACCGAGACGAATCTTGCTGTACCTAACCTTCAAATCTTGTTTCTATTGTACCCCTGTCGTTTCTAAAAATCACGGCCAAGTTCACGAAAGCACAGAGAGGTTTACTGTACCTTTTTTAACACGTCGTGTACCTTACTGAATCAAAACAAACTGATTTTGGTGTGAGTTACATTGAATTTTGAAGACTGTACTTTAACCATTTGAAGATTTTTTAAAATTTTCCGTATGAAGTTAGTCGGGATCTTTCAAAAGTCGATTTTCCGGAAACGAGTCATTGATATTGAATTTTGAGAAAAGTGCTTTAATTGTTTGGAGATTTATTCAAATTGTTTTCGGGTGCTCTCATGGAGTTAGTTGTAATCTTTCGCAAGCGGATTTTCTGAAAACGGCAAGGGTACAATGAAAACTAGTTGTGGTATAAGTAGTGAATTTTAGAAAAGTTTATTCAACATTTTTTCGGTGCTTTCATGGAAGTGATCTTTCCAAACGTTTGCCAAAAACGGCAACGGTAGAATGCAAACAAATTTTAGTAGAATATTGAATTTAGAATCAGGTAACGAGGTCGTGCTGCCCATCTTTCGAGACCAACTTCACGGGAGTTCAATTTTACGATACTTACATACGCACTGAGTCGTTTGAAACATTTTCTATAAGTACCAAGAGTTTGGTACTCAGAGCACTTGGTCATAGTGTCAGCTTTATTGTTATAAGAGAGTACATATTCAATCCTTCACCTTTAGTCAAAAGGGTTTTTTTTGTTTCCAGGTTACCTGTCAACCAAAATTGTGGTAGTTTACGTTTACATTGCGACATGATAAATTTGACAACTCTTTGCTACCGTTTGCGTTATTTTATCGCGTTTTGATACATTAGCCGATTAAAAATCTCTTTCATAACGAATTATATAAAAGCACAACTTCCGTAAGTGACACATATTCTCCTCCAAAAGTTGTATAACCCAAAAATGCCATCGGGTTTACCAAGAAAAAGAAAGCAACTTATTTCTAATCTTATTCGTTATTTTGAACGAGGAAGTGGTCCACTTTTACCACTCGCAGCAGTAAGAGAGGTGAATGTTTACTTTAGTAATATAAGAATTCGTATTAGTAACAAGTGTCATATCACAGAGAGTTGCGGATGCCTCAAATCTTAGCCTGTGAATAAGCGACTTCTATTTCTCAAATTTCTAAATTGGTCAAACCTCTAGAAAGTCCTAAAAAAACAATCCAATGTAAGAAACCCGTTAGTGATGTTGATGGTTTCACACAAGCAGCGATTCGGAACTCCATCTACGACATAATCCAACACAGTAAAGATTATACTATATTAATTAATATTTGTGTAGAGTTTATGTTTGTACTTTAGAACATCTTACTCTTTTACTACTTTTGTAAGTTCTAAAGGAGAAAGACGTATTTGATGAGTTCAACATTTCCTTAAGAATATTGGTTTCCGCTATCAAAAAGATAATCCAAGATATTACCCAATATTACACTCTCAAAAGTTTGCAATCGGAGATTGGACGCTAATGTGTCTTTTTGGATAAAACGTGGGTATTTGAAAATGGTATCATGCATGGTTTTATTACTGGAGCATCTTTAATTTTTTCTTCAAAAACAAACAATCCAGATTACCATGGGGAAATGAACAAGGACAGTGGTTCAGGGACCATTTGCCACCAAATTTAGAAGAACCATATCGCTGATTACTATAGACAATGCTAGTTATCACAGTAGCTTACTGGAAAACTTGCCAAATTCTTCCTGGACTAAAGCACAGCTACAGGCATGGCTACAGCACAAAAATTTGAGTTTCCAAATGATGGATTAAATGTGGAATTGCCGGAGATTTATGCGAGGTTTGTTTCCTTAAATTCCATGCAGCATGGTTTATTCGTAGTAATACTTCTAGTTTCGAGACTAAAAATTTGTTATTTCAGAAGCTATCCTTCAAAACGGTATGCTGCTGATGAGATGGCATCATGATCTGATTTTAATTGATACACCATTTGAAATGTTTTGTGGATTTTCTTTTGCTTTTGTTGTCTTTGTTAATTTAGTTCGTGTATTTGTGTGGGCTATGCCAGGGTTTTTGTCCCAAAGAAGGTTTTCCTGACGTCACCTGGTTGTGTGCGTAATATATATTCGCCTCTTATTACGCACAAAATTATGAGACCCTTAAAAATTTTACACTGGAGTGGAGCCCCCAGTATGGCACACGGATACTGAGCTCAGTGCCGCCTAGTGAAAGTTATTTAGAATATGCTCTGTTAGTCACCCAGGAGGTGCGGAAAACTAAGGAAAATTCTACTATAACTGTCTTTTCCTTTGTAGCGAAGCATGAAATGTATATTAATGTGAAGGGGACACAATAGTTGCGACGGGGTGTTGTTTCCCGCATGAAATTGATGAAATTGTTCTCCGATTACATGTTCCAATGGAAAAATTTAACAGAGCTAGTTTTTAAAAGTCAAATTGTGAGGTTTTTGGAGAAGTTTTGAAATCCAAATCCCAAAATCCTTCCTAGTTTGCCTGAAGTGATTAATTTTAAAGGTAGCCAGTGTGGATATATCGACAAATTGAGTAATACGTCATTAGAAAGCTCTTTAAAAATGCTTTTGAAGGGCAACCAAATGGGATGTTGTGAAAAATATCCGAAAAACGCAATCAACTTGATACACCAAATCGGTTCTGCTCAAAATCAACCCTATGTGCTGACGGAAGTGCTCAGGAATTCCTTACTCAATTTTCTTGGGGCAAACCAATGTGTCCATACGAAAAAGTAATGGAACGTATTTGCAGAAGCTTTTAACGCTAAAAGCAGGGATACTACGATATTTGATTGTTTACTTTTAAGAAATTATTCGGTGATTATTTAATAATCGATCGTAACCATATTAACCGACATTATAGTAACATTTATGCCAATGACTTCAAATGATTCACATTTGATCAAATTAGTCTCTCGATCCCGATCAATTGATTTTTTGCCCATTCCTATTTTTTTAGTGGTAGAAAACACATACCTTACGAAATGACTAGCAGTCAGAAATGTGACCAAAATTGGCCAATTTCTAATAAGGTGAATGAAAAAACTATTTCTTTTTAACCTCACATCCAAA